TATAGTCTCGCTGAGGGGCTGGCTATTATACGCGAGACTATTGCCACCTCAACTCAAGACGCATGTAAGAGCGGCGTTGGCCTATGTCAACAATCGTGTCTACTGTGTTCCGTAGGTTCCTGTGGTGGTAGTGACGCTCCATTCGTGAGCCAAGACCCGTGGCAGTCTCTGGAATTTAGTGCATTCCTGTATTGTGTTGTGTAAACAGTATTGTCTCAAGTCAAGTGGTTTGTGGCTAGGAAGGGTTTGACCGCGTATAAGTAGCTACGAAGGTCAGTAGCCGGGGCCACGGCTCTGCATTCACTCTGCGAGGTAGCCAGCAGGTCGCTGTAGCTAGCTAGCTGGCACTAAATCACGGGTGCGTTATTCTGGCTGCGCATGCAAATAACCGCATGATGGCCGCACGAACGGAGGATACGGACAATCTGCAATTCTACACCCCTGAAGACGAGCCTTTTTTCTACTTATTTTGCCAATTATGCTGGCAGAAAGATAGGTTTTACTGGATCTTAGTGCGCCTTGGCATAGCAAACTTCAGTATTTCCTTAATCGTTCGTTTTTTCCTCTATTTTTACCGAAAATGCACGCGTAAACGTACATTTTACCTCGCAAACCCTGAACAGTGGTCCGTAAACTCAAGGCGCATTTAGATTCGAGTGGAAATATGGACTTGCAAATCAAAAATCAACTGAAACAAAGAACGTTTAGAGGGGTGTAGACAAGGTAATAATATGCATTCTGAAAGTGATTCTTTCATCACCCGCTCTCTGTTTGCACGATAGCTTCAATATAAAAAATAAAGGTCATACTACCAAAAAACAATTGCACTTCCAAATGAAACCCTTTGCTATAATCCAAGGTGTGACTATAAATGATAAAAGCAAACCAAAGTTTCATGTGCTATATCTGTGCATATTTGTGGACCCATGCCTTAGTCCACCTGAGCAAGCAACCAGCTCGAATACCTGAGTTAATGGCCTACCAAACCATAATAGCAAAGGCCAGTCAGCGCTACCGGTGGCCTAGCTGGATAGTGTACGACCAGAATTTCTGGCAGGAGGCAGCGGGTAACCCCCACTAATCCTGGGCCAGGGTTGATCCAAGTATATATGCGCAGTGCTTCACTGGGCAGGCAATCAGCACTGAGAACTGGTGCACAAGATGCCAATGCCTTGATCACACTACCTCCAGCTGCCCCATGAGGAAGAAACAGTGGGGAACACAGCCGGCAGCAACACTATGCTGACCCAAGGCAGGCAGGAACAGCAGATCTGCATCAAACACAATAAGCTCAGCGGTGACTGCAAGTTTGGGAAGGAGTGTCGCTACCTTCACGTGTGCAGTGCGTGCATGGAGCCTCACCCTGTCTCGCGCTGTACCGTGGGGAAAGAAAGCACCGGTTCCACTAGCAAGTGAAAGACGAACACTGAGACATACGGATAATCGCTCAGGGCCTTGCGCCATGCTTCGAGCTTCAGTGGTGTTACCACCTGACACCAATAGGCTGGCAGAGCTTCGTTTCTGCCTGAGAAACAGGCTTCCAACTCCAGCAGTTGGTCAGTATACTTGTATTGACTGTCGAATAGTGTGAGGAACAGAGAGGGAGGAGGGAATAGAGAATAGAGGGAGGGGCGAGAGAGAATGAGGGTAAGAAAGGTGAAAGGGGCCAGACACCTAATCCGTTGACTCCCTGGCTAACCTATACTGGGGGAGGGGTCCCCTTCATAACACCCCCACAGTTATAATGCTCATGGCTACAATGCCAGTGACATGTGCAGGCACTCATGCGTGCTGCCGTTCAATTTCGGACCAGAGGTTTGCTGGGTTGAGCAAGGTTTTTTTTGGATTGGCTACAATCATCACATGGTTAAGCTGCAGCCAGCCAGAGCAAACATGTCCTCAACAGCAGAGCAGCCAGAGGTGGTCGAGAAATACCTGACCTCATCCCCTGCAGCGTGATCCCCAAGCGGAACAGACCAAACAAGTGGAGGCTAATAGTTGACCTCTCCTCGCCCGAGGGTCATAGCATGAACGATGGGATCAGCAAGGATTTGTCTAGCCTGTCTTATGTGTCAGTGGAAGATGTCGCATCATACAGCAGGGGAGGGGCACACTCTTAGCAAAAATGGACATTCGCCAGGCATACAGGAATATCCCCATTCACCCACATGACAGGTTGTTACTGGGCATGCAATGGCAGGGGATTACATTTGCAGACACAACCCTGTCTAAGATCAGCACCTCTGACTTTTTCAGCAATCGCAGACGCACATGGAGTAAATGGGTGTCCGGTGGGTGGCCCACTACATGGACAACATCATTACCATGGGGGCCACCGGCTCCGAGGAATGCGCGTCAAACTTCTTGCTGATGCACCTGATGCACATCAAAGGAGCTCATAACGTACGAGCGGATGCGTTATCCAGTCATAACCTCTCCTTGTTCCGCTTGCTACGCCCACAGGCCAAGCAAGAAGGAGCACCTGTGCTGCAGTCTCTTCTAGACCTTCTGATTCTGTCCAAGCCAGATTGGACATCCAAGCGTTGGACCGAGCTGTGGACCTCTACTTTCAAAACGGACTAACGTCATCAACCCAAAGAACGTACAATTCAGCAAAGAGGCTATACCCTCAGTTTTGCAAGGATAAACACATTTGTCTCCTACCGGCACCAGAGAGACAGTTATGTTGGTTTGTGTCCTCATTAGCCCTTCAGTCGTTGTGTCATAGTACTATAAAATCTTACCTCGCCGCTATCAGACACCTACACATAGCAGAGGGCTATGGAGATCCGCACATCCATAACATGGCCAGACTAGAGCAAGTTTTGAAAGGGATTAAAACCGTGCAGTCAAGAGGTCCTAAGAGAGCAGAACGGCTACCCATAACACCTCCCTCTTGGCAAAGCTGAAAGGAGTGTGGTCACGGGGGCCGAACCAGTTCGAGGGCCAAATGCTGCAGGCTGCAGCATCCCTATGTTTCTTTGGGTTCATGCGGTCAGGAGAGCTCACAATCCCTTCGGCGAAGTCCTATGATGAAGGTGCCCATCTCAGCTTTCAGGATGTAATGGTGGACAGTGTCCATAACCCACGCATTCTCCGTGTGCACTTGAAAGCATCAAAGACAGACACTCTCAGGGTTGGAGTCAATGTCTACGTCGGGACCACGGGAAATGCACTATGCCCAGTCACTGCCGTGCTTCACTACATGGTGACAAGAGGTCAAGGTCCAGGTCCATTCTCACACGGGCAAAATTTGTCGTAAAGGTGAAGGAGGCCCTCTCTCTAGCAGGGGTTGACTGCTCAGCCTACTCAGGGCATAGTTTCCGATGTGGGGCTGCCACAACTGCCGCCAAACAGGGAGTCAGCAACGCCACCAAAAAGATGCTCGGCAGGTGGAAAAGTTGTGCCTATCAGATCTACATCAAGACACCAAGACAACAGTTGGCATCCTACTCCCGTCGTCTGGGTGTTGCAGAGTAATTGTCAGCAGTCAGTATGTTCTTACATTCAGTGTGTTCTTCCTACAAAAAACAGACTAACAAGTCACGTACTATACCTTCGAAGGGCCTAGGGTGGGGAGGTGGTGTAAGAAGGGTCAAGCGGTGGTGCCATGGACAGGGATTTTTATCAGGTGTAAAAAAATAGGTGCTGCATGATTAGCTTGTTGGGCTGTATCACTGCTCACACCATGTTGGCAGGGGCCTGACTCCACCCAACGGCCACACCTGCTATATCTTTACCAACAGAGTCATCATAGCCATCGTGGCCAATAGTGCGCATTAGCATTCTGTGTGCTGGGCGCTCACACCAGGTGTACCACAAAGCGTAATATTAAAGCTAGCTAGACTCATAAACCAGTCTTTGACAAATGCCCTTTCCGGTTGGCTCATTTATATTTTACAAGGAGTGTGTGTTATGTAATCAAAGACATCCAGGACCATCCTGTGCTAATTCCCATGCCATTGGCACTGGGTCTAGTATTTAAGTCATTTCTCAGAGATTGTTCTAACTACAGGGTGATACCTGTACAATAAACACTAACGCACAACATACAACATACCAAGAATAAAGTAGTAATAAAACCTCCAGCAAACATGAGCTTGAAACTTCTATCATAATCTTCGAATCCAGAAACATCGTCATCAGATATGTTATTGATGTAGATTCCAAAATACACCATGCCATAACCCACAGCTGACAAGTACATGATAGAGAGCACGGCTGTCTGCAAGATTTTATGTTAAGGAAGTTTCATGGATTTTGCTGCAAGCAGCAAGGAGGTCGCAAGGCAAAGCACACACTCAACACATCCATAAACACTCCCTTTCTTTAAGTACACGAGTTTCCTGGGTCAAATCCACAAACAGGCAACAATAGCTACATGGACAAAACTGGTCCCATTATATTTGGCTTTATATACAAGTTTCTACCTTTTCTGGTGGGCAAGATGGGTATGTATATAATTTACTGGTGGCTTGTCAATGTACATGAGACGTTCAGTTCTCACAGTAGGGCATGAAGGAGAGAGCTCGATTTGCAATGCTTTTGGTGTGTGAGATCATGCAGTGTTGCTTTAGAAATTTTGTTGCTGGAGTATCACACCCATAATTTGAAGTTGCACGAGACTGTACAAAATTGAATTGGGTATCAGGGCCTTAATAGCCTAATCACTAACTGAACGCATTACCCGTATTGTGGTGAATGGACTGTAAAATAGTATCTGGACCCTCCCACTCAGTATCTCCTCCAAATCCTGATTGCTGGAATTATCTTTGTTCACACTAGGAAACACCATAAATCCAAACCCTTACTTAGGTTGCGACAGTGAATAGAAGATGCACAGGAAGTTTACCTTATCTTAAATGCAAGATTAGATAAATTACGTACAACACACTAAAGGAGAGACCCAAAATTTATCCGAGGTGGCTAGGGATGAGGTGGGGATCGGTAGGACTTGTCAAATCACAAGCACAGAGGAACATTATGTGCCATTGATTTGCCTGCCATGTTTTAATGCACAGTGATAATCATCGCCCTTCATGATTTACACCTCTTTTCATTTAAAAGTCAGCTGAAACCCAGGTATGCCACCAGTGTCTGTTAAAGGGGCAGCCACAATAACAACCAATTTTTCATTGAAGATCAATAATCTAGTATCCTAAGCATGACATGAACCCCAAGATTCTCTTATTAATTATACAGCATAGAAAACCTAGGAACCAGCTTTAGGATACAATACTTCCAACAACAGAGCTGGGTAGTCCCCACAGCAACACATGAGCAATGGCCAGGATATGTACGAATGGACCAATCACACTACCAGCCCAGAAGGCGTAAAGGTTAGATTCATCATCGTTTTCAAAAACCTCATCGTCATTAAACCTGTGGAAGAAAATGATACACAGCAAGTAAGGTAGTAAGGGTACTAGAATACTAGAATAAACTTGGTTGGCCTACCATTCACAATAGCCCTTTTTCACGTAAAGGACTGAGGAATTCATTAGCTCATAATTTAACGTGGCGCAACTCCCTGGGTACATTCCTCCGCCATTTTGTTCACGTTTTCTATGCAGGTCTATGGAGATGATGGCACTTTTCCAAGCGCCGTAGTTAGCTTACTGTACGCGATGTTCTATTTATACGGTATTCAAAAAAAACTTTGAAACTTGTGCTATTGAATGGTCCATATTGCGTGTGCTAGGGTTGTACGACTTGGGAGATACGCGCTCGGAAAGACGGTGAGTATAAGAGTTGCCAAGGTCTATACTGCTAGTGAAGTGGCCGTTTCTGTACCTGACTAGACTTACCGTAGCTAAGCTCTGTGAAGGCTGGGAACCTGTCTATATTGCTATGGCCAGGGAGATACGCGCTCGGAAAGACGGTGACTATAACGCCGGGATCCTGAGCCACTGGTAAGAGTTGCTAGCCATAAACACAAGCAATAGTAATATAGACAGGTTCCCAGCCTTCACAGAGCTTAGCTACGGTAAGTCAGGTACAGAAACGGCCACTTCACTAGCAGTATAGACCTTAGCAACTCTTATACCCACAGTCTTTCCGAGCGCGTATCTCCCAAGTCGTACAACCCTAGCACACGCAATATCAATAGCACAAGTTTCAAAGTTTTTTGAATACCGTATAAAGAGAACATCGCGTACAGTAAGTTAACTACGGCGCTTGGAAAAGTGACATCATCTCCATAGACCTGCATAGAAAACGTGAACAAAATGGCGGAGGAATGTATATACCCCGGGAGTTGCGTCATGAGCTAATGAATTCCTCAGTCCTTCACGTACGTGGAAAGGCTATTAAAGTGCAAACCCTCGGAGAACTGCGCATGCGCTGTACCTCTAATTGATGGGCTGGGCCAATTAGTCTGCGTTTACCCATCTCCCGCTAGTAGCGCTCGGAGAGTGACGCGGGCTGGCTACGGTAGTAGATATATAGCATGCGGGAGTCGATACATGCCGTTCGTTGTGACTTTCTGAGACACAGAGCGAGCGGATCTATGCAATTGGCTTTTTCGCTTGTTTTTCACGGCATATCTCTCGAACGCAGTCGTTTCAGGAAAAACGCCCTTTTCATTTTCAGGTTCGCATAGTTCTGAACCCGTTGGTATCGCTCATTGGCCACCTCGTAGCCTGTAGTGCCAGAATAAGCGTCGACAGACAGAACTACTACTGTAACCCTCGCTGCGCATGCGCGCCGAGGGTAATAACTAGAAGAATGTTCAACATCGTTGGCGAGCGCGAGCGACCCAACTTGGGATTTGCCCGCGATGTTCGGGCTGCATAACGTGCCGTCAGCGTAGCTTTCCTTTTGAGAAACAAGACAGAGCTGCCTGTCGCTGTTACATGCGTATATACTGTATTGCTAGAACGGTGAGCAGGTGAGCAGAACGGTACTTACCTTACGCTTTCAGCTCGTCTGTCGTGGTCCACCAGGCAGCTGGCTTGGGAGAAAGCTAGGCAGCGATCGATCAGGCTGGCCAACCGCGCGGCGTGTGTAAGTGTATGTAATACAGACGATTTCGAAATTTCATTCCGTTTCGCGTATTTGGATTTACGTAAAACGTTACCGGCCGTATACAGGCAGACATGTCCGAACGACCACTAGGTTGGCTCGCTCCCGCTCGCCAATAATGTCAATCAGTGTAAAGTGTTGCTTAACCCTCGGCATGCAGGTTTAGCGAGGGTTACAGTTACAGCACTACAGGCTACGGGGCAGCAATACTAGCAGCTTCAGGTTATCAGCGAATGGGTTCCGTGGCTGAGCACGTCAAATATTAGTCCGCATCTGTTAAGTGATTAAAACCTATAGCAGTACTTTACTGAGGATTTGCACTTCATGCTTTTGGTCATTGCGTGTGTGTATGCAAGTGAACAATGAGGTAGCAAGCAAAGGGAAATCAAACAAGTCAACTACACCCATGCATGTAGCTCTTTCTTCGAGCTGCTCTGGGTGGGATTTGAACCCACGACACTGCCGTCTAGGTGAGCACCCTTCTTTAACACAATACAAGGCAAAGACAAACCTCAAAACATTGTGGTATGGTACACTATACTCTCACTCAGTATGTAAGAGCACACCAGGATAATTAAACCACCAAAGATGTCAACAACGACCAAGGCAAAGGCATAGCAAATACACCCAGGACAGCTCTTTTTGAAGGAAAAAAAGAAGAGGTGGGATTCGAACCCACGGTCTAGGCAAGTGCACTACCAATTTTAGCTACAAAGGCAACTCAGCTGGTAGCTAGGGGTTCAAGTGAGCCCTCATGTGGTTCTGATTAGCACCTCAGGTATTATTCCCGATATACCTTCTAAAGCCATAGGTTAACCTATTTGTAGCCTGGGCATAGTAGGCAGTTATAATAACAGTTTACACAATATCAGCTGAGTGTGCATGGTGTATATACAAGAAATATACTGTGTGCCAGCATCAGCGGTATACATGTATTGACAGTGCGGTTGCGGGTGCTGTTAAGGTACTACAGGCGGAACCTTTTATTTTATGGCTTCCCTGGCTACAAATCCAACCATTATGCAAAACAGGACAAAGACAAACAAGTATGCTATGGCACAGTCTACTCTCACTCAGTATGTAGGAGCAGACAGGGAAAATTAAACCACCAAAGATGCCCAACTCCAAACTAAGTAAAGTAATATGCATTTCAATGATGTATAGCAACATGTGCACTGGTCCTCATGCGACAACATTTCAGAATAGGAAATATTTTCAGACGGTACGATATACACGCGAAAATTAGACTGCCTGCTGCTCACCAAAAATTCCATTCTAGTTTCTGTATATGAGCATTGGGCTAGTGTGTGTTTTGTAGGTTGTAAAGCCCTTTAAAAGCCCGGCCTCTCTTCTCATTTTGTTCTTTCTGCGTTTGTGCATGCAGTTTAGTTTTATCGCCGAATTCACTCTCAAGCAATCTCATTGTTAGGATATTGTTCATACCATTTTCTCAATAGTCCAAAACCAACAGTAAACACGATCCAACCAATGAATGATAATCCAATAAATCCCAGTGACACCTGCGGATATAAACAATAATAGAACATTTCTGAACATTTGAAGCCTCCAAATTTGACTGTTATGTAGCTAGCAGTAGCTTTATAGACTGACAGTGTGATAATTATTAATGTGGTAAATCATATGTGCTAACGACATGAGCCACTAGCTCTGTTGTATATAAAACTACTCCTGTAGCTACATAGCTATACCCAATTGAAAGTTGCCCAGATGATAGTTTGTGAGTTTTCCCACCTCTTGGAATAATAATTATAGGGGGACAAATGTAAGTGTAGCTATACCAGTACTCAAGTGCATGTTCCTCCGCATGTTCCTATGGCAACCCACTGCTGATCTTGCTGTTTATACCTTTAGTGGGTGCCTCACCACATCAGCTTTTCCTCCACTCAATTCTCAGGTGAACCTTTAGCCATGGCTTAACCCTTTGAGCGCATGCGCATAAACGCGTGCGTAAATTGCGCCATGCGCGTGCGTGGAAAAACACGTCGATCGCTGTAGCCGGGAATTGCATCAATTTCTACCGATTTCTAACACTGCGAGACTATGCAAAGGTATACTACGTGAGGAGTGGCTGAGTTCTGCAAAAGCAAGCTGAACTGGCTTGTACCGAGTGTATAGCTGCAGGAATAGGCAGCCGCTTTCTCGTGCGCAGGCAAGGCTGGCTGTTGTTCAGCTGAATTGGCTTGTACCGAGTGTATAGCTGCAGGAATAGGCAGCCGCTTTCTCGTGCGCAGGCAAGGCTGGCTGTTGTTCAGTTCAGTAAGCTGTGAACAACTGAGACTGGAAATGCCCGTAAGTTGAGGAATGCTGACAAGTGCAGATATACGCTTCCTGCGGGGAAGGGGGCGGGTCCGCCTGCGTATAAATACCCGCGTTGAAACAGTTAATTAAGCTTCCTTGTGTGGGCAGGGCCTGTGGCGGCAGTAAGGGCCCTGATCCAGAAATTCCTAAAATCGATTATCGGTATAATTATAGCCTCGTAGTAGAATTCCTCCCACCATACGAGTGGCTCTCCTAGTGCTCTTTTATTTGAGAGTTACGGTAAGTTTACTTCTCAGGTTTGGCAAACATAAACCATTTTGGAGATTAGATAGGCGCTTTACATATAAGTTAGGCGCCGATTCGAGGAAACTACGAGGATTGAGAAAGCCGCGGGCCATCGGGCTGTATAGCTGTGCGAGCGCCAGCGAGGACGCTACTAGAGGGCCCGAGGCTTTCTAAATCGCGTGGTTTTCGAGAATTGCCGCCTAACTGATTTAGAGCCATGGCAACCACGCCTTCATTCGAAAGACGCCAAGCGTGCAGCTTCTTTCTCACGACTCAAACCAGGTACTCGGTCTTCTAGCAGGTAGCGGCGCATGACTAGACTACGGAGACCTAGCTTGCTCTGGCTACAGCTCCAGCGCACGCGCACACTAGCTGTGCGAAAAAGCGCGCAGCGACCCCGCCTAGCCTACTCTTGCGTGACTTACGGCTAGCCGGCAGAGCCAACAAGCGTCTCTCTTTCACTCTGTTAGCTTGCCTGCAGTTAGGGGTGCTGCGTCTCGAGCTAGCTACACTTTCTATGCAGAGCTGATTAGCGTCGTCTTGAATTTTCTGTGTGGTGAGACACGTTTCTGCGCATGATAACAATGGAATGTGCCTCGGGGAGGATTTCTATATGTAGAAGTCCGCTGATCAGTCAGCGGAATACTAAGTGAAATAGTATTCCTCTGATTGACCAATCAGATTTCAGAACTCACTAGAGCCTGGCTCTAATTGCACATAGAACCCCACTGCATCTGCATTGAGCTTCCTGATTGATACCTTGGAATCACTCACACACGTATTCGAACGTATTCATAATATGGGTAGCTATAGGAAGAATTTACGAGGGAGTTACGCACATGCAAGTGGGAGAGCCAGTGTGAGAAGTAAGTTCATCCACAGACAATGACTCAGGCAGTGTGCGGCGTATGTAGCTGACCAGGTGCTTTGTTCTAGAGGCTGAATATATATTCAGAAGTTTTATACCTCAAACGAGTCAAAGTGCGTGAATGACGGACTCATTATTCTAAAGTGCACGCATGAGCAAAACAGTTATGGCATGGCAACCCTTAGCAAGTTGCAATAGTATGACTACGTTGTTGATCACACCTATATAGATGAAGTAAAAACACACTAGATCTTTTTTTTATTGGGTACATACCTTTCTTGCAAATCCTTCAGTAACCCTCATAGCTGTAAAAATATATGCTAGAATAAAAAAATGCGAATTTTTGTGCATGATGCAAAAAACAGCTAGCTACAATGCTTTAGAGCTGATTAGGCATAATCCTGGCAAGATTGCCATCCAAACGTGATACTTTACGGTTTGCGCCCTGACGCGACTGACTCCGTTTCGCGTGTATTTCGAACTATGTGGACAACTTTCTCCGCTACACTCACCCCAATACGTTGCCTACGATAGAGGCTGGTTGTTGTCCGCGGTATCTTGGGCAGCTAGCTGCTTCTCATTAATGATAGCGAATTTCCAACACGCTCAGGTCTTTTTCTTATCCCTTACCTTATTCCGCACTGTAAAGAAAGGACTCTGCTCTCTCCTTTTCTCTGTCTCTTCTGTCGTCTATAGTCTCTCGCAAGCGTGAGGGTCTGGTTTGCGAGACTACGTACCTTCTTGTGTGGTCATTCAAATCGACAGCACCCTGGCTTATAGCAACCGCGATGCGCTTCGACGCTCTTATGATGCCGGAAACTAGGCTAAAAACCCGGATGTGAGCGGTTAGAATTTTGTGACAAACGGCGTGCCATACGGACGCACGCTGTCTTATCAACAACCTCTGCACCTACGGATAGGATATACTGTGATTGATAATAATATTGTAGAAAAGTGCCGTTTTTGTTGATTAATGGCTATTTTCCACTTACCCTGCACCTATATGTATGTTCAACTGAACGAAGAGCAATGTTGCAAATGTATTCACTACATCAACTGACAAAGAGTTCACATCCTCTACTCCTGTACTAGTTCAGGGTGCGGTAAAAAGCCTTTACTAGTCAAGAAAAGAAGAATTTTCCATCTGAGTTTTAAGAAATCCGTATAGTGTGCAGTTATACTGCTGGGTTGCTAGCTAGCTACTATGCAAATAGAAAGGAAAAAAGAATGCAAAACCTTCTTAACAACAATTTATGAGGAAATTGAAAAGAAGAAATGAAGAACAATGCAAAAAAGTCCCGACACTTGTTGCCAATGAGTAATGTGTATTAACTGTGTACTCCCAAGATATCAAGTGAAAGAAAACTCAGTTTGAAAGTAAAACGAGTATATATGACTCAGTTTGTAAACTAATGCGCTTAGTTTTGGTGAAAATTGTGGCTAGTCTCTTTCCCAAACCCTTTCTTTATAAACACAAGCATTATAATACTATACACAACACTGTTAAAAATTGGGTGTTACGGCAACACCTTTTGGGGCGCCCGTGGGACTGTGCCAGTTTGGCACCCTTGGGGTGTTAGGGTGGGGTGTTAACCATCACCCATAAGAGTGTATATACAGGAACACCCTTTCTGGGGTAATGTACACCCATAAGAGTGCTACTTAGCCTTTCTATTGATGCTACAATACACTCTTTGGGGTGTTCATAAACATTTCATAGGGTGTTCGACAACACGCGGTTGGTGCTCTAGAGCGCTGTTTGTTGTTGCAGTAGTGCCATTGCTCTTACTGTTGAAGTGACAAAAATATTTCACAGTAAAAGAGCATGAGATACAAAGAGCAATGATACAGTAAAGAGCATAAGATAAAATTTCTATTGTTTAATATTATCTAATGATGCTAGAGTCCTTTTGTCAGAAGTAACCACAGAGATGTAACTATGGTTTTCAGTGATTTTCTTCACAGCCTCATCAAGGTCAGGCTCATTCTATAACAACAGTTCGTCCATAGTTATGTACATGATAATAATATATAATGTTGACTTACAGAAAACCGATGCATGATGCACTCTACACCCCAAGAGTGTTAGTAAACACCTACTTAAGCGTAATGAACACCCCTGAGGTGCTCCAATACACCCTGCCAGTTTTGGTACAGAAAATGGGGTGCTAGATAACACCATATTCTTAACAGTGAATGCTCCACTTTCCTATAACGGTAGCTAGCTATATATACTCTGTAAACATCAGTCTGTGATGCGGAGCAAAACAATTTTTTTCGAGAGGCACCATAATAAAAGCTCGAAACTCCGAGGAAATTGAAATGAAGAACAATGCAAAAAAGTCCGACACTTGTTGCCAATAAGTAATGTGTATTAGCTGTGTACTCCCAAGATATCAAGGAAAGAAAACTCAGTTTGAAAGTAAAACGAGTATATATTACTCAGTTTGTAAACTAATGCTGTGATGCGGAGCAAAACATTTTTTCGAGAGAAAAAAAACACTACCGAAACATTGCAGAAGACCATCGCTATTCCTGACGCTGAGGGGGCACCCAGCGGCCGAGGCGTGTCTCCTTCTGCCGCGAGCGCGCGTGTGCTATAGTGCGCGTGGGCCGGCCAAACATAACAACTCGTGCGCGCAAGTTGAGGTATGGCACACGATACATGACACCATCCCTATATCCCATGGAACAAAGGTGTCCAGCTTTGTGTGTCTTTGGTGTGTAATGACCCCTTGTTTCTTCCTCTTTGGTGCTTCAACCCATCCCTATATCCTCCTTCACTTTTAACAGAATGCGCTTAGTGTACATAGTGCCGCCATAAAACAACTGCGCACGCGCACAGAGCTGCGCACACACGCGCTCGCGGCAGTAGACCTCAGCAGCGCCAGGAATAGCTGCAATGTTTGGGTAGTGTTTTTTTCACAGGCAGTTCTCACAGTACCTATCATCTCTGGGACTGGTAAGCTAGCTTAGTGATCATGATACACATCCCTGACTTCACGTTTTCAGATAATCTGCTGCTACTATAATTATACTCCCATCAAAACGCTGCCTGTGCCCAAGGAAGATTATAGATGCGAGGTGACCTCTGGAGTGGGAGTTGCATGGCGAATGGTTACAATCAATGGGACTGGATTGTCTGCAATAAACGATGATGACACACTTTATACCGAGGAAGGTGGCTTCCAAATACATTTTGTAAGAAATATAGGCAACTTTACATCAGTTCTACATTTTAGCAACTTGAATTTGAATGACACAAACATCACTTGTGAGGGTGTTTATACTTTGATCAATTATTAATGAGTAGCCTGAGATTGACTAACACTACCAAAATATGTATAGCAGGTACGTACTTTGGCTATGTCTGACATTTTTTTTCTGTGATCAAATAATTATTGTGCGCAAAGGTCCAGCCTCCCCTCCCACTAGTCTGTCACAGTGGTGTGGGACCCACCTTCAGCTGTAGTCAGTTTCCAGTCTCCAGTGTATGGTGGAGAATGTGTGGACTATTATGTGGTCACTGCCATCAGTGAAGAGA